GGCTCCATTGTGGTTATTCTCCAGACCAACATATTGGCCAAATAAAGAGAGAGGTTAAGGCGGGAGGTGGGGGAGGGAGGGAGGGAGGGAGGGAGGGAGAGAGGGAGGGAGAGAGAGAGAGAGAGAGAGAGAGAGAGAGAGAGAGAGAGAGAGAGAGAGAGAGAGAGTAGGAAACAACCCCTACCTTCCCAAGCTTTCTCAAGCACAACTCTTGACATGATCTGTGACTTCATCAGAGCTGTGTCATGGTTTGGATTGATAGCTCTGCATAGAGTCAACAAAGTAACACCCAGATTGCATGCCCTATCCAATAAATCATGTCATTCATGCTGGATGCAAAATGTCCACAGAAATCCATCTTTCGGCACTTTTCTCTGAACAGTCATTCCTAATGAATAGTATCATCTGCACACTAACTTCTGCATCCTGTCATCTTCTCATCATTCTCACCTTCTCATCTTTCTTACTACCTTCTCCTACTGCCTTATGATTTATCACATTGTTTGTATCTTATGATGTATATTACTGTATCATGATTTATGATCTATGACTTATCACTTTGTTGTTTGTGTGTACACTGAGAGCTTCTGCACCAGAGACAAATTACTTGTGTGTCCAATCACACTTGGCCAATAAAGAATTCTATTCTGTTCTGTTCTGTTCTGTTCTGTGCCATTCCACTCCACTCCACTCCACTCCACTCCACTCCACTCCACTCCACTCCACTCCACTCCACTATATTCTATTCTATTCTATTCTATTCTATTCTATTCTATTCTATTCTATTCTATTCTATTCTATTCTATTCTATTCTATCTACTCTACTCTACTCTACTCTACTCTACTCTACTCTACTCTACTCTACACTACTACACTACACTACACTACACTATTCCCGTAGGCTCAAACTTCTTAATCTGCATGATCAAACTCCTTAGTTCATATAATCAAAATTAAAAAAAAGAAAGAAAAAGAAACAGACTCAAAAAATTTGTACTTGGAATCCTTGGCACAGAAAACACCCCTACATTTTTCATATGGATGTTGCATTGGGGTGGATGGGTTGGGGAGTGGGGGTAAAGCCATCAATTGCGGAAAGGAGCTGGATCAAACCGAGGTCTGGAAAAATGCAAAATAGTGAAACCAATCCCAACAGATTTATTTAACCATAATGCTGAGCTCTGACTCGTGGCACTTTTGGTTTCAAAAACACTGGTCCCTCCATGGCCCAGATCAAAAGCTGACAAGTCAGTGGAAATCAGAGCTAGGGAAAATGACTCAGTGTTAAGTTTCGTGATTCATCAGTAGAAATCTATACGTTCAATTCATAGCAACTTAAAAGGATTTAAGGAGCCTTCCAAGATCCTTTCCCACCCCGCGTTCTACGATTTCAAATATATGACGCAAATAGTGAATAAGTCTTCCACTTAGGATGACAACTGGGATAGGAATTTCAATCCTAAGGCATGATTGTCATAAGTCGAGCCATCTATTTGACCGGGCCTGAATTTACAGTGGCTTTTATGATGGTCGTTCAAATCACACCATTCTAAGTCTGAATCCATTCTCCCAAATGGCCAGGATTTTTCTTTTTTCTTTTTCAGAAATCAACAAAAATGCCGGAAATCAGCAAGAAACATTACAAATCACGGTCATGTGACTTCAGGACTCCTGTCATAAAAGTGATTAACAGATTAACAGAGTTGGAAGGGACCTTGTAGGTCATCTAGTCCAACCCTCACCCATGCAGGAGCCCCTACACCATTTCTGACAAATGGCAGTCTGGTCTCTTCTTAAAAGCCTCCACTGGTGAAGCTCCCACAACTTCCGAAGGCAACTTCTGTTCCATGGGTTGATTGTTCTCACTGTCAGAAAATGTCTCCTTATTTCTAGGTTGAATCTCTCCTTGTTCAGTTTCCATCCATTAATCCTTGTCTGACCTTCAGGTGCCTTGGAAAATAGCTCGATCCCTTCCTCTCTGTGGCAGCCCCTCAAATATTGCAACACTGCTATCATGTCTCCCCTGGTCCTTCTCTTCTCTAGACTATCCATGCCCAGTTCCTGTAACCGTTCTTCATATGTTTTAGCCTCCAGTCCCCTAATCTTCTATGCTGCTCTTCTGTGCATCCTTTCTAGAGTCTCAACGTCTTTTTTATAATAGGGTGACCAAAACTGGATGCAATACTTTAGATGTGGTCTTCCTAATGCTTTTATAGAGTGGTATTAGTACCTCACTTGATCTTGATTGTATCCCTCTGTTAATGCAATTTAGGATTGCATTGGCTTTTTGGCTGCCGCCCACACTACTGGGTTATATTTAACTGGTTGTCCACTAAGACTCCAAGATCCCACTCACGGTTATTGCTATTAAGCCTGGTTTCACCCAGTCTATATGTGTACTTTTGGTTTTTCTTGCCGAAGTGTAAGACTTTACTTGAATTTGATTTAGTCAGACAGGGCCCAGTGTTCAAATCTGTCAAGATCCATCTGGATCTTGAGCCTATTATCTATGAGCTGGCTATCTTGAGAATTAATATTGAATAAAGTGGATCAACTTCACACAACAGAAGCTAACCAAGGCTGGATATAGTAGAGGTCTGTGAACCCATCCAGTTAGGGGACTGGAGGCTAAAACATATAAAGACTTGGCTGCTGGAATGGGTATGTCTAGTTTTGTGAAAAGAAGGACTAGGGGAGATCTGATAGCACTGTTCCAATATTTGAGGGACTCCTTCAAAGCCAAGGGGGTCAATCTATTCCTCCAAAGCACCAGCAGGCAAGACAAGAAGCAACGGATAAAAACTAATCGAGGAGAGAAGCAGCTTAGAACTAAGGAGAAATTTCCTGACAGTTAAAACAATTAACCAGTGGAACAACTTGCCTCCAGAAGTTGTGAATGCTCCAACACTCGAGGTTTTTAAGAAGAGACTGAATAACCAAATGTCTGAAATGGTATAGGGCAGTGATGGCGCAGTGGTTAGAGTGCAGACTGCAGCTATTTCAGCTGACTGCTAGTTCAGCAGATCAGCGGATCAAATCTCACCGGCTCAAGGTTGACTCAGCCTTCCATCCTTCCGAGGTGGGTAAAATGAGGACCCAGATTGTTGGGGGCAATATGCTATTTAGTATACTGTCTTTGGTGTAAGCTGACCAGAGTCCTCGGAGAGTGGGCGGCATAGAAATATGAATAATAAATAAATAAATGGCTAACCTTTTCCAGACTGAGTGCCCAAAGCGCGTGTGTGCATGTGCAAATGCGTGCACGCATGCCCGAACCGCCAAAATGCAATGCGCACACAGCCCTCGCATATGCCCGCCCCTGCACATGCATGCATGGCCCCCTCATGTGCCCTGCCCCGCCCCAATGCATGTGCGGCAGAGACCTGAAGACCAGGTGGCTCCTGGCAGGAGGCACGCGCGCATGCACGGCGAAGCTGAACTGGGGTGACGGGGTGCATGCCCACAGAGAGGGTGTTGCATGCCACCTCTGGCACGTGCGCCATAGGTTTGCCATTACGGGTATAGGGTTTCCTGCCTGAGCACGGGTTTGGATTAGAAGACCTCCAAGGTCCCTTCCACTGGTGGGATTCAAATACTTTAACAACCGGTTCTCTGCCCTAATGATGCCCACACGGTGGTCATGTGACCATGTGGGCGTGGCCAACTCAACGTCACTCACGTTAATTGGCGCTTCACCTTAACTGTTACAATGTAATAAGGGTTAACCAGAGAGGCAGTTTCTATAAGCAGGGCAATAAAGATTAGGCTAGAAACAACACCAGAATGTTTCCTTCTTGCTTTCCTTACAGGATTAGCCCTGTAAAGTGGAAAAAAACAAAATAAGGTTTCTTCCAACAACCAGTTCTCCGAACTGCTTAGAAAGTTAACAACCGGTTTTCCCGAATAGGTGCGAACTGGCTGAATCCCACCACTGGTCCCTTCCAACTCTTGTTATTCTGTTCTGTTAAATTTGTTTTGAATGTTTGAACTGATATGAAAAGGCGATCTATCTACTGGATTAGTAGTATTTACATCCAAGAGTGTAGGATGCATCCAAATTGATTCAGCAGTGTTCAACTGAACCCATCAATGTGATTTGTCAAATCAATTGATTATTTTTTTTTTGAATGAATCAATTTGGAGTGCCTGAACCTTCGTTCACTCCAATCGTGGAATTTGACACTTCTGGGTCACTTCAGACCCTGCAATTCCTATCCTAATGAGGCTTTACTCACTGTGGTAGCTAGTTGGCATGGGCAACCAGAACTAAACACATAGCTTTTGCGACTTTTGCTTATTGATTGGCAAAATAATAGAGACGGAATGCACACAAGTACATTTGCGTTGAAAAGTATTATGCAGTCAGGACAATGTCTGTCACAGCCACCAACTATGAAGCGATATTGCCAATGCGTATAACAATACTCAAATTATATTACTTAGTTCAGATGAAAGATGAACTCATCTACATGTCTGCAGAAAGAAGTTACACGGATAAACAATTTTTGTGCTACACACAGCATGAATACACTGAATTTGCCTAAAATGCTCTCTAAACTACAATCTATTGCAAAAAGCCTAGGAACATAATTTCCCCCCTACAGCTAATAGTAAAGCATTGAACGGCTATTATGCTGTGCATATTAATTAAAAGCAAAATTGCACAAAATTGCAGCAAGACGCTGGGTTTTCTCTCCGAAAAGTTCCCAGGTAGGATGGCAGAAAGCGGCAATTAAAAATATGATTGCGTTTGTTACAAGAAATATATATAATGTATGTATGTATTTATGTATATGTATATATATATACATTGAACAATTAAAACAGCCACAAGACCCAAAGGGTGCAGAATCTCCACCCCACTCCCCCAAGGCCATTTGAAGCCCTCACTTCCCACCCACTGGAAACAAACAGAACCACAACGGACGACACAAGACAGGGATGAAACAACAGACAGAAACTACAGAGATAGAAGAAGGCGTGCTGGTGTTATAACTTACAGGCACGTAAACTGGTGGAGCAACCATTAACAGAGACAGAAGAAAGTGGGAAGGCTGTCTCAAGGATGTCCATGTTACTACGCGCACGGCCTGACATGCAAGAGCAGTCGCGCTCGGAGTAGCCGCAATCAAAACAACATGCCAGTTTGAGCCTCTTGCAGATGGGCATCTTGGCTATAACCGTGGTGGAATGGGAGGAGAGGAAGAGGATCAGGTTAATGGAAAGGTCAGGTAGGACAATGCAGCTGGAAGGTCATGTAAGGGAGACAACATACAGGCAGGGGTGGGCTGCTACGGGTTCGCCCGGGTTCAGGAGAACCCGTAGCTAACATTATGGCCGGTCCGGGGAACCTCCAAATCCCAACCCTGGCTGGCCCTGCCCACCCCGCCCCGTCCCTCCCAGGAGTCTCCATACTGCCAGTTTTGGATGCGAGGTAAGTGCAGGGCCCGTGTGGAGGCTCGGGGAGGGGAGAAAACGGGCCTCCCAGAAGTTCCAAAATGCCACAAACGGGCCTCTGGAGTCCGGGGGAGGCAGTTTTTGCCCTCCTCAAGGCTCAAGGAAAGCCTCCGGAGCCTGGGGAAGGCGAAAACGCCCCCCCCCAATGGTGCAGGAGGCCGACTAGGCACACACCCACCATGGCCACACCCACCCAGCAACCGGGCAGAGAACCCGTTGCTGAAATTTTTGAAGCCCACCCCTGCATACACGTCTTAGCTCATGGGGGTCTTGACCCATAGCAAAATAGTGTCGTGTTTATTAATCACATCACATCAGTTCAGAGGAAAATACCCATTGTTTTTAATGTTCTTTTAGGACAATTCAAGGCTACAACTCTTGTGTTCCCATTCAAGGTTTTTGCAGAGTTTTTTTTTAAAAAAAAATAGAAGAAAACATCAATTTGTTGTCACAAAATGTGCTGCTTATTTAGGTTTTGGATGGCTTTTTTTTTTTTTTTTTTGAGCAACCAGTAAAAGAGAGTATTTGAACAGACTCACTCACTCCTTCGTAGCATTGATGGTGTTACCTAGTTCGGTAATGAAATGTCTACAAGAAAACAACCAAGCTCAGAGAGCACCAAAGATCCCCCCCCCAGTTTTCGAGATTTGTTTTTTGTTTTTTTGCTTTAATTTATATGCCGCCCTTCTCCGGAGACTCAGGGCGGCTTACAATGCGTTAAGCAATAGCCTTCATACTTTTGTATATGTATACAAAGTCAGTTTATTGCCCCCACAAACTGGGTCCTCAATTTACCCACCTTTGAAAGGATGGAAGGCTGAGTCAACCTTGAGCCTGGCGAGATTTGAACTTGCAGTAATTGCAAGCAGCAGATGTTAATAACAGTGCATTAGTCCACTGTACTACAGGCTCTATGTAGTTTGATCTAGCATTTCCCCCCCCCCCATACTGGTAACTCTCTTTGAAATTCTAACTTCATTTAATGTAAATATACTTTGGGAAATGAAGTTGATTTTATTCAAACGAGAGGTCCTGCTACTAAGAATAGATAAGTATAGCACTAAAGATCCAGTTCTACAGAGGAACTATTGAGTCTGTCAACTGCACCTCTATAACTGTCTGGTTTGGTTCTGCAACCCAACAAGACAGACACAGACTTCAGAGGATAATTAGAACTGCAGAAAAAACAATGGCTACCAACCTGCCTTCCATTGAGGGCCTGTATACTGCACGAGTCAAAAAGAGGGCTGTGAAAATATTTACAGACCCCTCGCATCCTGGACATAAACTGTTTCAACTCCTACCCTCAAAAAGACACTATAGAGCACTGCACCCCAGAACAACTAGACCCAAGAACAGTTTTTTTCCGAATGCCATCACTCTGCTAAACAAATAATTCCCTCAACACTGTCAAACTATTCACTAAATCTGCATTACTATTAGTCTTCTCATCGTTCCTATCACCCATCTCCTCCCACTTACGACTGCATGACTATAACTCTGTTGCTTGTATCCTTACGATTTACAGTATATTGATTGTTTCCTAGTATGATTTGATTGCTTATTTGTACCCTATGACTATCATTAAGTGTTGTACCTTCTGATTCTTGACAAATGTATCTTTTCTATTTATGCACACTGAGAGCATATGCACCTAAGACAAATTCCTTGTGTGTCCAATCACACTTGGCCAATAAAGAATTCTATTCTATTCTATTCTATTCTATTCTATTCTATTCTATTCTATTCTATTCTATTCTATTCTATTCTATTCTATTCTAAATAAAATTGTCTTATAACCTCAGACAGAAACAATCACAACTCCATGTTTTAATTTAAAGCATGCCCTGCGGTTTTCTGTTTTTTTCCTTGTTGAAGTGAGACAGGAGAAGATAAATCTTCCCCAATGGGTCAGGCTCTGTTCTAAGGCCTTGATGACTTGCTGCTTGTAGTATATTTGTCAACCAAGGGAGAATATCCTGATTGTGGGAAAACAGGCAACAAGGGACACAGAAGAGTGATCCTCTCTTTTTCTCAAAATTTGCTTGTATATTCTGGGGCTCTCAGCATTCGCTTTGAGTTATCTTGCAGCTGTTAACATTTGTCAACACACAACATCAGCCTTGGTCACAACACCATAGGTCAATTATGGCTAACCTTTTTGTCATCGTATGCCGATAGTATGTGCGTGCGTGTGCAACAGCTTGCACACATGCCTGCACCCATAATGCAATGCACGTGCACCCCCGTACTCCTCCACGGATGCCCGTGTGACACCCCCCCGCCCCGTTTTAGGCCTAGCAGCCTCCTTGTAGCCTCCTGGGACCAAAAACGGGCCATGGGACCAGGCTGCAGGGAGGCCTGCTAGGCCCAAAATGGGCCATGGGGGATGCCATCCCCTTGTGCTACCCCCCGCCCCCCAGGCATGTGCATGTGACCCCCCTGGGCATGCACACACATCTCCCACATGTGCCCCCTCACACATGCGCAGCAGAGACCCGAAAATCAGCTGGATGGCGGGAGGCACACGGGCATGCGGGGTGGAGCTGAGCTGGGCAACGGCTCATATGCCCGCAGAGAGGACTCCACGTACCACCTGTGGCACATGTGCCATAGGTTCGCCATCACGGTAATAGATCTTGGTTGGGTATTTGGAAGCAAAAACAGAATTCTGCTACGGGTTTGTTTGGAGAGGTTATCTACTCCTATGAAATGATTTGACAATCTGTTTGCTATTTTTGTGGGCTTCCTCTTTTTAAGTCTCCTACAATGTTTAAACAAACCCTTTGCATTTTTTCTATTTTAAACTTTTGAGCTTTAAAAAAAAGAAGCAAACTTTCTTCCTTTGTCCTGAAGGTTCTTTTTCAAGAGTCAAGTGGACTTTGTTTTTGTTTTGTTTTTCTTGAAGGTATTTCGCTTCTCATCCAAGAAGCTTCTTCAGTTCTTCTAAAGAAGCTTCTTGGATGAGAAGCGAAACAACTTCAAGAAAGTCCAGTTGCCCCTTGAAAAAGCACCTTTGGGACAACCGTGACCTGGATGACTGAGAACCTGCATGTTAGGCGGTTGTATTAACCTCTGAGCCACAAGTTCTCCTCCCTTCATCAGCTTCATCAGGTGTCTTGATAGAAAAACACTTAATCTCTCCCCTGGCTCAAGCTGATGAAAAGAGGAGAACTTGTGGCTCAGAGGTTAATACAACTGCCTAACATGCAGGCAGCCCAAGTTCGAATCCAAGTAAGGGTATGGCTAGCTGATGAGAGCTAAATTGCTTGAAATAGATTTATATTAGTCTCCCTTTATTTCTTTATCAGCGAAATATAAATTTGGTATAAAATGGTTTGTCATGAATGCGATTGCTTGAGGGCTCCTGAATTGGAGCTGAAAGGCGAAAGAGATGCAATATGCTCCCTCCCACATGCTGGGGTAGATCAGGTGTCTTGATAGAAAAACACTTTACATACATACATACATACATACATACATACATACATATTGGCTTTTTATTATTATCATTTTATTATAATTAAAACTGCCCAGAATATCATCGGGCTCCAGCTACCAGCCCTGAACATCTTAGAGTCTCATTATTTGAGAAAGTTGCATAACATTCTCAGAGACTCTTCCCATCCTGCTTACAATCTTTTTGGACTGTTGCCTTCCGGCAGAAGATGCAAAACAATTAAAACTCGTACCACACATTTTCTGAATAGTTTTTATCCCAGAGCTATAATTGCACTCAACCATGAACTAAAGGGCCACCATCAGTGAGCTGTTGGACAGCATTACTTGGTCTGTTGTGTGGATGTTTGGGTGGTTTAGGGGTGGGGAATTTGTGGTGGGTGGGAGTGTGCTTGGGGATTGCTATATGTGTTGGACCTGGTCTTTGGGTGTTAAGTGAATTTTGTTGTATGGGCATACTGTGTATACACGTACAATGACAATAAAGTTGTTGTTTTTGTTGTTGTTATTATTATTATGGAACAACCAATAAAATTGGTCTAAAAAGCACTGCCTGGCTAAAGAGAAATTAAAGTTCCTCTAACTGAGGGGTGTCAAACTCAAGGCCTGGGCTGCATCTGGCCCTCGGGATGCTTAGATCTGGCCCGCGGGGCCATCCTGGAAACAGAAAAGGACTGGCCAGCAAAAATATGTGGTCCTCCCAAGCTCCATTTTTGCTGGCAGAGGGTTGCAGGAGGCTGTCGCAGCCGAAAACGGAGCTCGGGAGCCCATTTTCTTTGGCAGAGCACTTGGGTCATCACAGGCGACCACAACATGAGTGACATTGAGCTGGCCATGCCCACCATGGCCACACACACACACACACCGAGATCAAACACAACCCTGATGTGGTCCTCAATGAAATCAAGTTTGACATCCCTGCTCTAACCACAGTATAAAGTTGATTTTCAGCTCTTCCTATTAATCAACTGTAGCAAAACCCAAGGATATATATGCCAGCTGTGCGATATGGTGCTGTTGGCTTGGCAAACCAATCCCTGTTTTCATTTCTATCTAAATTACGTCTTATCAAAAGGCAATCATCAAATAAGACCAGGGAGACAGGAGAGCAAAACACTTAAGAACAACAATTCCTTCAACAACAATTTGTGTTCTTCAATTCCACGTCGGGAACTGATTGATGCAAGCCCCATTTTAAAAACAAGGCATTTCAGGGGTCATTTTTAATTATTAATATTGGCGGTTCTGGAGGCCACAC